TTGAATTTGCAAAGTACTGTGAGCTGCACATATTTGCATGAATAGTTCTCGGATTTGCAGGAGTGTGTGAAGTGGTTCACACGGCAACACCTGCGTGAGTACGAAGAGTGGCGCTCTTCTAGGGAGAACAAGTATGGTTCTCTTGAAGTACTCATTAGTTCCCAAGAGTAGCCAAATTTTGCGGAGTTGCTTAAGCTCTAAAGTCAAGGTATGTGTTTACAAGGTCCCTTCCTTGCTCCTAGGAGTTCAAATCTTAGGATACTCACTAGGGAAGTGTTGAAAACCTTGTGCACTAATGTGTTAGTCAAAATCTTCGGATACTAGCATTTAAGTACTAAGACTTTCATTTACTGTTCAGATCTCATGTCGTCAATCCGCTTGCATTAGTGGGGGATTGTTGGAAATGGTAATGCAATCGGATGAATTGCAAAGCCATTACGATCCACACTCGTGCCTCGGTCGGGCGAGCTGCGCTCGACCGGGCGGATTTAACACGCATTTTGTAGGTACATTCGCGCCCGGCCCGGCGGGCACCTCCCGACCGGGCGAACTGACGACCCAGAATTCTTGTGTTGTCGCGCCCGACCGGGCGACGAAACGATGAGAGTTACGAGCCCGGCGGCCAAGGTCCGCCTGGTGGCTCGCTCGGCGCGATTGCTTGTGAGAGAGAGATTTCGCTTCGGCCCGTCCGGGTGGCTGGATGCCCGGCCGGGCGCGCCTCTTTTCCTGGGGAAGGTCGATTTGTTTATTGTATCCTATTTTGGGACTCATATAAATACGAGTGGTATCTTCTTTCTTTCATTCATTCATTCATACGAAACCAAAAACACAAACCTACCCTTTAAGATCTGAACAGTTCTTGAGCAATTCCAACCTTCGAGTTCGGGTAAACGGATTGCGGAGGTCGTTGTGTAAAATTTGGGGGGCGTGCGTCACTGGATATCTGTACCGGTGGTGGCGTATTATGCTTCTAAGGCAGTGGGTTCCAAACCATGGAACAAGCGAAGGAGGACAGATCTTGATCAATTATAACGGTATTTCTTGTCTTCGTTCTTGATTTCAACAGGTATTTTTCCAACATAATTTACTAATTTTGCATGACTTGCTATTAACTTTGTATAGGTTTTTATGAATTATGATATGTATGTATTTGATAAAGATTATGTTTTAATACATTTGATGGAAATTGTGCAAAAAGTTAAATAAGATACTCCCTCTGTCCCCTTTTGTTTGTCACTTTTGAAGGAAAATCACGGGAATTAAGGTGGAGAATGTGAAGTAATGAAAGTATAAAGGAAAGTGAAATTCCCAACCAATAAAGTAATAAAAGTGCATGGGAAAGAGACATTTCCAATTAAAAAAGTAATTAAAGTACATGAGAAAGAGAAATTGAGAGATTCAAGAGTGTAAAACATTAAATTAGTCATAAGTTGGCACAATTTTTATGGCAAATGTTAGAGTAAAATAGGAAGAGGACTTAATTAGGACAAAAAAAATGAGGGTATAAAAGGTTTTTTTTTTTTTTTTTTATGTATCTTAATAATTATGAAAATATGAAATGTGACAAACATTTATGGCCACCCAAAATGGCAAAAGTGATAAACAAAAGGGGACGAAGGGAGTATTAAAAAAGAAACAAAGATATAAAGTATTTCGTTGTTCTTTTTACATATGCACACTTTAACGCCCTACACATAACATTTACCATAATTTTATTTATTTTTGTAAGAGAAATAAAGTTCATATAAGATAAGTCCACGTTAAATATATAAGTTTAAATATTGGTTAAAAAGAGCTACTTGTAAATTTGTAATAGCCTGGTTCAATTCAATCTAGCAAACCTTTTTTTTTTTTTTTTTTTTTTTTTAATTCAATCTAGTAAGTTAGTTTTGTTTGGTTCTTTTTAGGAATAATAAGTCTAGATTATTAGGGATAAAAGTTAATAAAAGAAAAGTTTAGGAATAATGATACAAATAAGTTCTATTCAAAAAAAAAAAAAAATGATATCAAATAAGTTATGACAAGGATTATGTCCGTTGTTTAATGAATAAAAACTATAAATATTCAAATTCAATGTACCATTGTCTCAATAAAAAAAATAGAAAGAAAAATCAATTTACCACTAGACTATTGAACTTCGTAAAATCTACTAGTTAAGATCAAATCATATAATTTAACTTTAAAAAGGTAAAATCGATGTAAATAGACTACACCCTTAACATAAGTTTATATATACAGGTTACAAGACTATAAGTTCAAGCAAGTTTAGATAAAGTTAGGGAATAAATAAAAACTTAACAAAAATAATGCAAATTTTACATTAAACATACAAGTGCTATGTATGTTCAATTGATGGGGGAAACTTTCACATAATTAATTACTTGCTCCGCTTCAAATTAGATGACACGTTTCTTTTATCTCGTTTGTCAATGTAAAAGTTCAATCGAAAACATCTTTGATTATATTATTGTAAAAAATACTAACAAGATCCCACATAATTATGTTTTTTTATATCTATAAATCACAAATATTTACTCAAATTAAATCAAATTTAATGAATAGTGTCAAAAGTCAAAACGTGTTATCTAATTTGAAACAGAGGAAGTACATTCTAGTTATAGTTTTATTCAAAAAAAAAAAAAAAAAAAAAAAAAAAAAACAAGAGAGTTAATCCTTAATTCCTTACATTCTCCGTTATCCATAGGGCTATATATACTGCATGCTAAACAACGTATATTTTTCACAACGTGATTTTTATTCATCTCTTTTTAAATATCATTGCTGCTGGTCCACTTTTAACCTTACTTCTCCCATTTCAATTCTTTCTATTTTCTTTTGAAATATGCTATACATGGGCTATATATTAAAAATAAAAAATAAAAAAATGACAATGTAATATTAATTACATTGATTTACGCATGATTTTGTCATGTATTTTAAAATTAATGTCAAATTAAAAAAAGATATTACATATTTATTTTTAGTTCTAAGAGCTACATATAGCATTATTCAACACGTTTTTTTTAATTTATTCGTCTCAATCAACTTAATTTAATTGACAAATTTAATTTGATTGTATTAACCCATTAGTATACGGAGTATTACTTTTTCGGTTCATTTTATAGTTCATGTTTCAATCACAATTGAATAGTTAACGTTTTAATGTACACATCTAAACTTAAATATTTTACGTTTTAATCTACACATCTAAACTTAAATATTTTCTCCGTTCGTTCCTCTTTAATTTTACTCACCATTTTGTTACCCCTCTTTCTATCCGCTTTCTAAAAACACATAATTCTCACGTTGCAATAATGTTGTGAAAACAGAGGAAGTTAAAAATAAAGGAACATATTGTTATTTTATTGAACACCATTTTGAATTTATGTAATACTATACTTGTAAGCTAAGATTTAGGGGACGTTTGGATTGGGAGTATTAAATTAAGGGGTAATAAAAGTCAAACCAAGCAAAATTAAAGTAAACATAGGAGAGGGGGAGCTAATGGTGATGTGATTGTAAGAAGATTTATAAAGTGATGGTGTGGTGATAAGTGAAGAAAGGGAACTATTACCCTTATTTTGGGGGTAATAGATTACACTAGGGGGGTAACCTATTACCCTCATTTTTTAGGGTAATGATTCCTCCACCCCTCTCTTTTCCTTATGTCACCACAACCTTAATTCATTCATAAACACCTTGTCTCTCTACAATAATACCTCTAATCAACTATAATTTACCTAGTTTGACTTATATTACCCCCATTTTAAGCGTCCCCTTAAAAAAAAAAAAAAAAAAAAAAAATTAAAAATATTGAAACAGAGGATATTCATGATGTAGAGTTTTTTTTTTTTTTTTAAATATTTATTTATTTTTATTATTTTTTTTAAGAGAGAGAGTGTATTCATGTAGCTAGAGTTGCATCCCCGTGAAACTAGCCCCCGCACCGAGGGGGGGAAAAAAAAAAGATGAATCGGATCGGATTAAGATAGTCACGATCAACTCTTAGGGCCTGTTTGGTTGAATGTAGGAATTGCAAATTCCTTGGAAATTTGATTTCCCATAGAATTGAACTTCCTAGAAAATTCTAAAAAGTGTTTGAAACACCTAGTAAAGTGGAAATTCCCATGGGAAGTTCCACTTACCTAGGTCCCCCTATGTAATTTACTTCCTCCATTTTGTGGGAAGTGGGAATTCACGGGAATTTCTACTTTCCATGAATTTGTCAACCAAACAACTCCAAACAATTTCAATTTTTAGGAATTTCAACTTCCCATGTTTTTAATTGTCAACCAAACAACACCTAATTAATTAATCCATTGCATGACATGCTAATCAATTTTCAGCTGTCTCATATTCTGCCTAGCCTAAAACAATGCTTAATTAATATTTTCTCCATGCATTATGATCACAATTGTTCCACATAAACCTTTTGCAATATGCAAATATCTTAATTTAATTAAGCAAATTAAATCTAATCTAAACATTTAATTATACGCGCAAATTAATAGATGCATTATCAACCAAAGTCGCCCAATTTTTATGTCGATCATACATATTCTTTCTCAACTAGCTTAGTGAAGAAAATTCATGAAATGATTCAAAGCCCTTAATTTCGTCAACTTTCTACACAATTAATAATTATATTTGCTAATATAATTAATATATAATTAATAATAAACCGTTAAATATCTACTACTCAACTTACAAAATAACGAGTCATTTAGATGGGCACATGTTAGGAGAGAATAATATTATTAATATATAACGACTATTACGTTGCTCATATCATCATCTCACTAGATTTTTTATTTTTTTTTATTTTTTTTTTATAACAGCAGAAACAAAGGAAAAAATAAAACAACTTAAAAACATCAAAAACAGCCGAACTGGAGAAACTATTCAAAGTAACCCGACACTGGATAGCTATTTGATGGGGGATATGGACTTCCGCTCTATCAACCTTGAGGATGACGCGATGTTGAAAGGTGCTTCCGATCTTAATAATCTCCTTTAAATTCCAAAAAAAGGTGAATATCTGAGGGACTCTTGTTTCTAATAGCCGTGACAAGTAATGCAGAGTCAGTAAAAACTTTTATTGACCGATAGCCATTATCACTTGCCCACCTTAAAGCGTAAAGGCAAGCCCAAAACTCAGTTTGCAGAGCTGATGCCGCAATTCCAGAGAAACCTCCAGCCTCCATTTCACCATGGTTTTGTAGCTCGATCGTCCATCCGACCCCATAGTGTTTACTAGCCTTATGCCATGAGCCATCAACTCGTATAGTACTTAGAGCTAATGAGTCGTTAAAAAGTAGGACATGATCCAGTTGTCCTAACGAGCCCTGTAAAAACCCTGGAGGGGGGGTAAAGGTCAAATCAATAGGATGTCCCAAGTCCTGCAGCCTAGTATCCGACCTAGTGAAGTCATGTAACAGGAGAAAAACTTCTTTAAGATTTCCAAAGTAACATCTCACGTACCATTTTCTCCTTGAAAAATACGCTTATTCCTTGTAATCCATATAGCCCACAGAGTAGCCACTAGAGCCTGAATGCAGTGACTTCGGATTCCATCCTGGCTATGAAACAGCAGAATTTGACTTCGGATCCAATCCTGAAGAGAATTGGAACCGGTAGGTTTCTTGTAGTTTGGAATTTGGCAATTGTCCCAAGCATACCGAGCTATAGAATAGTCAAGAAAAAGGTGAAAACCATCCTCCTCCTTGACACCGCAATAGCCACATAAGGTGTTAGTGATAATTCCTCTTGTTCGAAGATTAGCTCTGAGAGGGATTCCATTGACAGCAAGCTTCCAGATGAAGATACGCCATTTGGGGGGAATATCCAGGTGCCATAAAATCCTATAGAAATCATAGATTTATTTTCTATGAGGGGACTCTCTCCCTCCTCCAAGGTTAGCAAGAAAGGCATACCCTGTTTAATTTTAACAGTATAGGTTCCTGCTTTATGCCAAGGCCAATATAAGAAGTCCTCCTCTTCTTCCTTCGGAAGATCGATAGTTAAAATCTCCTGTGCACTATCCCACTCAAATCGATCTCTAACAACTCCCACATTCTAGGAACGAGTAGGAGTGATAAAATCACTTACTTTCCATAAGGCACTTTGTCTGAGGTTCTGGTCCGAATTCACCACTGGAACTTTATTATTGACCCAGGGAGAGCTTGAAACTAACACATTATTACTAGACCCAATTTTCCACGCGAAACCCTTCCATATTTAATTTCTAGGGAGTGCATCGTCCTTCTAACCCAAGAAAAAGAAGCTGGAGGTGGCTTACACAAGTCATTAGATGGACAAAGGATACAGTCAGATTTCGCATTAAAAATCCTAGCAGCAAGTAGTTGAGGATTCGTATGCATTCTGTGGATATTTTAAAATAACAAGGCCTCATTGTAAATGCTAGTTGAATTGAGCGTATCCCCAAACCGCCCATGCCTTTAGGAAGTTGAACTCGTTGCCTGTTTATCCAATGAATGTCTTTCTCTCCACTTTTGGCCCACCAAAATCTAGTGATTAGGGAGTCCAGTTTGTTGGAGATGGACATCGGAAGCTTGCAGGTCTTCATAACATGAGCCACCATACCCAAAAGGACAGAGTTAATAAGTATGAGCTTGGCACTTTCCGAAAGCTTGCAGTGAGCCCAGGACATAATTTTCTTCTTAACACATTCAACAAGATCCACGAAGAAAGAAGCTTTCCTCCCAGATAGATCGATAGGAACTCCCAAGTGCTTCCCCATGTTATCAATAATGGGAACTCGGAGGATAGATTTGAAAGAATTTGCTAACTTCAGTGACACAGAAGGGCTAAATTTAATGAAGGATTTAGCAAAGTTAATCTGTTGACCAGACGCCTTCCCGAATCTAGAAAGGATATCTGCTATAGTACCACAAGACTTTAATAAGTCAGGAAAACTAATCATATTTCTTGTGAGATTTTTCCATATGCCCTTTTGGACAAATTGTCTACCAGTATTGAGTAATTATAAAATACACTAATTTTATGCCAAAAAATCAACTTAATTATAATACAAGTTAATTATATCACTACTTGGACTTCCTCTATTTGACTAAATTTATTTATTTATAATTTTTAGAGGTTTTGTATTCATATTGTTTGTATCCATAAAAACAAGACCATTGTTTGGTGGCAAACAGATAAACAATTGACGAGTTGCTTTCTTAATTATTGTATTTTTTGTGGACTATATAAAATATGATACTTGTATAATTTAGGAAATAAATAAATGCAACCAATACAAGAAAATTAAAGGCACTTGGGGGTTAGGGCCAATACCTAACACCAATAAGAAAATTATTGTCCCACCAAAATACTTCAACTCTTAAACATATCCATAACATTTTTAGGGATCACAAAAAAAAAATGGCCATTTCCACTTTGATCTTAGTGTTTGGATTTTTTTTTTTTTTTTTTTTGTATATGTTGTAATTTTGTTTTTCTTCCAATTATTGTAATTCTTAATTAATATTTTTTTTACTAATTAATGCTTTAGAAAGAATATGTGTCTCTTTGGTTGGTAGATCATTGCCATCATTCTAATATTAATTTATATCCAAATGACGGCTACATTGTTTTATTAGAGATATGCATATAGCTTTTTATGGAAAAAAAAAGACACATAGATAAATATAGTAACGGCTTTTGAAATTAGATTATTCAATAAATCAATACCCATTTACTTTTATTTATTTATTTATTTATTTATTTATTTATTTATTTATTTTTTTGAATAACCATTTGGAGAAAACTTACATATATGCAAAATTCATATATTTTTTTTTAATTAGATACTAACGAGTTTCTCTATGCGATTAAATTTAAAAATCATGTGGGACTTACATTCGAGCCTAGCAAATGAAGGTCAAGAGAAATGTGGTTAATGGACTAGTTAGCTAGAGTTGGGTCAGACTTAAGGAAAGTGAGGTGGAGGAAAGAGAACCGTGAGAAAGGTGATCCATGCCTTTGGGTCACATACATACAATGATCTTGTGTGTGTGTGTATGTATTCTACATATCTTTCATGTACTGAGTATATATATGAAGTATTATTTCTTCTTAATTAATTAAGAGATAATAAAATTAAATTATCATACAGACATTTGGTACGTGTTGTTAAATTGAAGACTATATCAAGTTAGGGTTGGGTCACCTCAGGCAAGGATTATCTTGGGTCAAGATGTTTAGCTCGATCTCGGATTGAAAACTAATAGCTAAATAATCGAACCATGATACAGAAATTTGGGTTTTTGGTTAGCTTAACATACTTTCTCCGTTTCTATTTAGTTGACACGTTTAATTTAGGCACACATATTAAGGAGAGAAGAGAGAGTGAGAGAGAATGATAAAGCAAGTGGGGTAGCTAGTAAATGCAAAGTATAAAACTTACTCAAAAAGGAAATGTATCAACTAAAAAAAAAACTTCCTAAAAAGGAATACGTGTCAACTAAAAAGAAACAGAGGTAAGTATTAAATTAAAAAGCATGCATTACGTATACATATTATTAATAAACATTGACACATGAATCATACCGCCTAATTAACATCAATGTTTAGTAAGGCGATAATTGTAGTTTTTTTTTTTTTTTTGTTGGTGTTTAATAAAGAGCCACAGAAGCAGGGGATGAAAATCGATCCCTAGATCTCATGGGACTGGAGGAAAGCTCTAACCAATTGAGCTATTCCCAAGCGGTAATTGTAGATAGGTCATCGTGTCCATGAGTTTAATTAGTAAGTTTTCATCAAATTAGCCTCATGATTGACATTATAATATGTTTATTATATTTTTCAATCTAAATATGTATTTGTGTTTCTTCATATTAATTATTATTTATTTTATCTTGTAATAATGGAAATTTGTATGTGTCGAAACTTGATGTAGAGTTACATAGTTACATCCCCACGGAATTGATATGGGATGTCCAAATAAATACAAGTTTCTTATTATGATGTATGGCCATTTATTATTATTGTCAACCAAACAGGTAGAGTGAGATCGAATACAAAGAAGTTAGAAGTTTATACATATACATACATACATACATACATATATATATACACACACACGAAAAGACACACCAGCAATGACACGTGTCATCTTCTGGTGTGTCCTTAGTTGTGTGTGTTTTTTTTTTTTTTTTTTTTTGGCTGAATAAAATTCAATTAAAGAAACAAATCTTATACAAAAATAATTTCCTAATCCTATACAATATAATTACTGAAAATAAAAAAAGATTTGGCATATGTTTAACACAAATATTTATATAGCTATAAAAAAATTATTAACATAATTTTAATCATTCTACATCATTTTATATCTAACATATCTTTTGTGATCCTTTATTATAATCATAATTTGTCAACTATATATTTAGAATGTTTATAAAAAAAAACTAATTATAATCGTAGTTTAATAATGGTTATTGAAAATTACCGTGCATGGCACGTGAACTAACCTAGTTAAATTAAAAGTGACAGATCATTTAAAGATATTTCATATTAAATTAAATATTTAGCATATTTAATTATAGTAAAAGAGGAAACAACTCTTTTTGGTTTATAGGAGAATATTTTTTAAAAGTTATAATATGTGGTGTATATATTATATTCATTTAAAATCTAGGGAAAATCATTATAAGAATGGAGATATTTATGAATTTAAAAGTGACCAAAAATGTCAAAATTATGGAAACAAATCATGCAATTATGCACCTCATGACGTATATATGACCCCGATATATAACTATTTTTGATATAATTTGTTTTTTTTCGACATTATATAGGTTTTTTCGTGGAAAAATATTACACCACTTTTATTTTTAAATAGTATGATTTTTCTATCTAACGAAGCATACAATAATAATCTTGTCTACACCTACGTTACCAAGCAAGTTGATGCTCTAGAAATGTCATATCAAAAAACAACCGATATATCAAATCCCGTGGTCCTATCTTCAATATTATCAACTTTTAGCAATACAAACATAAGTAATTGACGACCCAAAATTGATAATGGAAAAGGCTCAAAAGAGAACTTTATAGAGTGTTATATAGTGCTACATACATTTTCCATGATTTAATAATTTTATCAAATTTTTAACACATAGTTCCAAAATTTTGGTTAAAGTTCCCTATGTCTTCAAACTTATTAGTCATGTCAAAAATCTATCAATACCCTATTTCTCTTTCTAACCCAAATCTATCCAATCTTGTCATAGTTGCATTTTTTTAATTTGTGGGGTTCATCTTTAACAAATTAAGGACCTTTTAATCCGATGCCTTAAATAGATTTTTTTTGATCTAAATCGCCCTTCACCCTTATAAATTGCTAACTGCTCTTCGGTTTATTTTGAATTACCTGTATATATAAAATATGTATTTATCTAAAATTGAAATATCTGTATTGATTTGAGTTTTTCTTTTTGACTAATTTTGTAAGATCATTAAGTTTGCTTGAACTTATTAATTTTAAAATAAGTAATAATAAGTTGACAAAAATACACCCTTAAGCTAAGAAATTTCAATAATAATGACACACTAGTAAGTATTTAATCAAATGACTATTGATAATTTAACCTAAAAAGACTCATATAAATTTGTTTCAATTCAAATAGGTATTGGTCCATTATTGTATAGGTTTTCATTGTCAAAAAAAAAAAAAAAAAAAAAAAAAAAAAAAAAAAAAAAAAAAACTAGCATAGAAAGGATATGCTGAACTTTCCTCAATTTTTGTTAAAGTGCTCATCATACAATTTTTGAAGGTTGATTTTTTTTAAAAGAGCTATTGTAACTGAATTGAAGGAAAATTAAAATATCCGACTTTAAATGTTGTAAGAAATTTTACTTAGCTTGAATTTTAATCAAGTACTCGTAAATTCGTAATTAATAAGAAAATTCTCATGCATACATGCACTCTTTTTACAATGATATTAATAGTCAAAATTCTATCATGTATTTTAATTTGTTTTACATTTGATTATATGTATCATCAAATTTCTAGAGAACATTTGTTCTACTAACGAATGATGTGATAACAATCATTGAATTGAATTATGAAAGTTGTTTTTTTTAAGAAAAAAAAAATTAAATTAAATACGAGTATTATTTATAGAGTTTTATATTATATCAAAATTGTAGAAACTTCGCTTACGTTCATAAAAGGGATGGACCAGGTTGTCTTTATTGATAGTTCAATAACGACAATAAGTTCGTCTTGAAAGTGACACTAAAATTATATACATAAAAAATTGATTCAGGTGTTAGTTTCTTAGATTATACACTCCAATTATTAATATTTTTTAAATAACAAATGTTAATGGAATGTGAGTATACACTACTTGTTAATTAAGATTAACTATAGCTAAATAAACAATTATAGTTTCTTTTTATTTTGAAGGGAACGATTATAGTTTCTTTATGGTGTAAACCTTCTTAATTTATTTGCTAATGGTGTGTTAATTATGCTTCAATATGCATATTATAAAAGGATAATTTCCCAAAATAGTAAACACAAACAATCATAAACCATCGAGAGGTGTGACCAGTCAAGCCAAAAAAAGGAAGTCGGTAGGAAAAAAAAAAGGGCAAAAAGAAAAAGTAAACGGCCGTGCAATTATTGTGCTAACAATTGATCAAGAAAGAAAATTTGATTAAGAAAATCTATTAAAAAAAAAGGGTTGATTCCAAAGAGGAAACAATGGGCTAGAATCTTAATCATACAGTAATAGAAAAGTCACATTCATATATAATTTGAGTATTAAAGTTAGAAAAGGTGATAATTTTATACTAGTTTTGAAGGATTTTATGATGTCACAAGATACGAATGCATATTGCTAATTGTCTCCTAACAAAAAGAAAAGAAAATGAGACTTGTAAAGTTGAAAATGAAAGTATTAGCTCCCCCAC